TGTGTGTGTGTGTGTGTGTGTGTGTGAGGTTTAAGCTGGAAAAACAAGAAATGACACTTTAAAGGTGCTCTACCGGAAGCTTACAACATCAATTGAAATGATTCAGAATTTATCATGACAGTAAGCATACAACACACTTATAAGTAAAACCAGAAAGAAACATAAGTAAAATACATTCAAAACTGAAATTCATGGGTGACGATTTCATTTTTGTTCACAAACTTAAATTGAATATGACAGAAAACTGAGCACAATATGCAATGTTTGTGTTTTTTATTTTTGCATGCAACATGATTTCTGAGAACAAAAACTAATTTTATTGTGTGCATGAAATTACAAAAGTGTCACAATCAGAAGATTGCAGTTCTGTACCTTTGTAATAACAAAGGTATTTAAGTGAAAAAACAAAAACAGTATAGTAAAAATTGAAAACATGCTTAAAATATTCACATCACTGGAAGGGTATTCTGGATTTGAAAAGCCATAATTTAGACAGATAACATTTTGAAACAATTTACTTTAATGAAACATCATCAGAGCAAAGACACTGATATCATTAACCTAGGTTTATGCTTGAGGCAAAGTAATCGTTTTAAAAAGGTAAAAACGTACAGAATCTCCAGATTCTCTGAAGTTCTGCTGCCTAAATGTTCTGTAGATGTGTGAATATATTTCTGATGCCACTTTGCCTTTACAAAAACTTAAAAAGGCATAAAAAAATCAAATTATGCCAGCTTCAGTGCCTGCAGCATACCCCTTCATGCAACACTGAACAAAATGCCACGACAATCTCACTCTAACTTTCTCTATTTAAAAGGATTTTTATCAATATTTTTGCAAATACAAAAATAAAAATTAGGTCTTTTGAAAATGCATCTGTTCAYGCACAGCCAAATTTTTTTTGTTGGCTACTGGGTGTATACGGCAGCGTTTGCATGCTGTGCCAGGCAGTGGGGGTGGTGGGCAATATCTGTCACGTGCGTTCAGGTGGCAGCTTTAAAATTTTCATCTATCTGCTTGGAAAAGAAAAACCTTTCAGAGTTTGTTTGTGTACATCAGATAAAAAAACAGCAAAACTATTTATTCAAAAGAGTTTTGTGTACCAGGAAGCAAAGTTAAAATGAGGGCAGTATTGGATCAGTGGGTTAACAATGCTTCTGTATAAACTGCAGAATGTTTTACATGTTCTGGGAAAAAGAGCTGAGATGTTTCCTCTAAGCAGATCAGAATAAAATAAACAAACMCAAAAATCAAATGCACCTTCATTGCTGAACATTGTGTTAAAACTTGATAATATACGTACATKTGAAAGACCAACTTTTAGCCTCTATGAATAAAAATTAGAATTTTAAATGTGAGAATAATAAGACATTAAAAGCCTCAATCTAATCCATGTTAAACTGTTACTACTCATAAGATCAGCTTTAAATTTTCAATAGACAAAAAGTGTCTCAAAAGGCCTCAATTAATTGTCCAAATTAAAGTGAGTGCATCCGGTTTTATCATTGCTCAATGACAAAAAATAGACGTGAAGAGCAGGTAAAACCATTACCAACCACCTTTGCCTTTTGATGATGAGAAATAAAACTATAAAAGGAATCTCCCTAACAAAACTCCTCAGACAAATAAAAGGTTTGTCCTCCTCTTTCCTGATATTTGCTTTGCTGGCCCAGTCCTGGCCCAGAGCAGAGGATGCTGTGGGTGTGTAATCATGACAAATGTCTTTGTTCGTGCCAGTGATGCATGCTATCTGCTTTGGGTGCCTTACTAGCATCAGCAGCTGCCGTCTCCATCAAAGCAGATGGGTCAACAAGACCGGAGGACAAACTTCAGGACAAGCCTCCAACCATCACTCTCCTGKTCCCCACTGGGCCTTCCAGAGCCAAATACAGATGAGCCTCTGATTTGCATGAATTTGCCTGATGGAGAGCACCGGTGGAGAGAGTGTTCATCATGCAGAAGAAGTAAAACGTGAATCTGAAGAAATATTAAAGCATTAGTAAGATCTTTTTTTTTTCTTCTCTAATTTAATCTTCCCATTAACTGGCTGTAATGAGTCATCACACATCAAGTGCAAACATGAAAGTAAATAAATAATAAATAAACAGGTGCTCAGTGAATGAGCTGGTCTCCATCAGCAGCTGTTTTTTAAGTGAATCTGTTGCCAGTGGGAGGCTTTTGGATTTTCTTTCCAGACTCATCTCTAAATTACTTTAATTTGATTTATTTATCACATTAATTTATACTTAACATTGGTAAAGCAAAAGAAGGACTTTTTGAGTGTAAATGTGATTAAAAAGAGGTAAGAAAACATGTTTTGATCAATTCTTACAGCTGAAGTATCTTTATTGCCAAGATCTATGTGGCTTTTGGGTTGATATTTTTCTGTTTGTTATTTTCAGATTYACTTTCTTTATTGTTTTCTTTGTGTTTCAGTTTGTCTTTGTGTCTCCTGTTCAATTCATCTTYGATTAGCATTTTTCATAGTCCATTCCTGCTCCTCTGCTACACCTTGTTCAAAAGGAACTAACTGGATGTATAACGGACTTTAGGAGCCAACCCAATTCAAACAGCAGTCAACTTTAGCCAACTAAATTATAACAGGTTATAAAGCATGACTGTCCAAAAAGTCATCACTACAGTGCCCCAGATTATCAAAACCATTCACACCATTAGCAGTCTCACACCCAGTTAGCCAATATTTTTAGACCAATATTCACCCACGGGTGAACTTTGGGACTTTTCTCCATTTAGTCTTTCTTTAATTGACACTCTGACCAATGCTCTATGCAAAATAATATTAATAATTCCAGCAAAACATGTTAACACAATCAGGCAGAAACAAAAACATTGTTTTGAAATATAATAACATTAAAGCTTTGTAGGTTTATAGATTTATAACAAGATGACTTTCAATTCCAAACGACAATCTTGGGGATAGCAAATAAATAAATAAATAAATAAATAAATAAATAAATAAATAAATAAATAAATAAATAAATCTCTTGCATGCGAGCAGTGGCTTGGAAATAATTTCTCTTGGCTGATAGGTCCTTCAGAAAGCCCACACCAGCCCCTATTGCGCACGGATTGGCCTTCTGCTCGTTTTTCCTCTGGCGCCTCATTGGCTTTCTGCTAATGATGGTTCTCAGCCATCAGTTGTCCATGCAGCTTTCACTGAATACTGACTGAGACCCCTCTGGCTCTGGCGAGTTGGATCATTTGAACCGGCGCGTCTGCTCGCGGAGAGGACGAAGGCATCTCCTGGATGAGACCACGAGATGCTTGGATCCGCAGCTGCTCCACCACATCTGTCTCTCTCTGAAATGAGATAATAGAGAAGGGAGAAGGGGAAATAGGAGGAAGAAGAAAGAGGCAGGAGGGAGAATCCTTCACAGCTCCCAAGATGTTTTGCGCCAAGCTGAAGGAGCTGAAGCTCTCCGGAGAGTGTCCATTCTCCAGCATCGGCGCCTCGAACAGCGAGCTCCGAGACGCGGAGGARCGCTCCGCGGACGCTGCGGATCTCCTGCCAATTTCCAGGGACGTGCACGGAAAAACAAGTGAGGATGTGCCTCGACAGAGAGCAGGCAGAGGCAAAGTTAACCTGCACACACTTGGAGACAGCATCCGAAAATTGGCATGCCCAGAGGTGAGCTTATGTATTTACATGCAGGTTATTCTGCAGCATAAATGGAGTAGGGGGGGTCTGAAGCGTTACTGTTTGGGCATTTCTCCCCCCAAAAAACGCGCAGACATCTATTTATAGGGGTAATTAAAAAAATCCCGTCATTCTGATTTAATAAAATAATCTCTAGTTGATGTTTTTCATATCACATGATGACCTTTGGWCACTTTATGATACAGTTTCAAAGGCTGCACGTTGCCCTCCAACGAATGATGACACCAGCAGATCACAGCAGGGACTCTCAGAGGTAATCTTTTTTTTTCATTTGAAAAAAGAAAAATCACAGCTTCTACAAAACACAATAAAAAAATCAGACCCTACACTGAAGAACATCAAGTACGAGCATGCACGTCTGCCTCTCAGGAATAATTATGCTGAGAGGCTGCAGGTCATGGCCTTTCTGTTGAACAATACTTTACAAATTCCTCCTGTCACTCTCTAAACCACAGTGATACTAATGAGGACAACAACAATAATGAAGTAGGACACAAAACTCAAGCTGCTATGGAGACCAGGAGAGAAATAAAAGRTGGTGGTGGTGGTGCAAATTTGCTGAAAGAATAGAAAATAGATCCCATTCTAAGTTTTCTCACGTCGGACACAGATAGTTTGATCATTTCTTTTAACTGATTGGTTTTGAGTGCAGTGTTGAAGTATTTAGCATGAATGGGATTTACACAAACAGTGAAATAATCTCACTATATTTGTTGGCCWTGTGGAAAACAAATGCATGTTGTATTTTTAGTTGCATTAAATTTTAAACAAAGTGAATTTTCATCCCAGTATTTAAATTCAGAATCTTCACATTTGAAATTTTCACTGAAATTCTCCAGCTGCATGTGAACATGTTTGCTGGTACCTTTCCACAAATACAACAACAACAAAAACACAGCAAAGCTCCAGTTTTGTTTTATTAGTTCCCAAAACTTTGGGGCTTGTCAACAAACACTTTGGCAAATTCCATTCAGGCTTTAATKTTTTTCTGTCACTAATGAAGTCTTCCATCATGATTCAACATGTGGCAAATGGTTTATCGCGACCCTGGAGTTCAGCTTGATTGTTCTTTTTTATTTTTTGATGGTTCTAATCTCTCTGATAAACCTGGGGTTGCATTCCCTCTTGTGTCCACACCCTTGAGGGTCACTACAGTCCCATGAACTATAATTTTCTAATATAACGGCAGCTGTGGGCAGAAGCACATGAAGCTTTTTGGAGATGGTCATGTAACCTTTGACTCCAAAATGGATATTGTTTTTCTGAGCTCCTCAGACATCTCTTTTCTTTACTCCCTCAGTGGTGCAACAGCAATACCAGTCTACCCAGTGGCATGTATGCTCTCTTTAGAAAGACTATGGCTGATGAAAAGTTTAACACAGGTCAAAGATCTTTATGACTGAGTTTTCAGTCCAAAACTGTTGTATGTTCCCCTGTGTTAAGCTTCAAGTGCCCAATTTTGAGATTTGTTGACTTTTCAGCCCAGCCGATTGTTGTTTTCACTACCAGACCTGCAAAGCCGAACCAGAACATTTARTGGAGATGATGCACTGTTACTCAACCAAAACAGGTAATGACAAATCTGCCATTGATTGCTCATTGACATGCAGCAGGCTTTTTAAAGCCCCGGCTCAAATCTCTATTCGCTCCACCCCTCTCATGTTTCCGACAGGAATCCAGATGGACGCTCTGAAAGTCGCCCTCGGTGAGGAGATCTTCAGTATGTGTTATGAGGAGGACGGGCAGATTTTGAGTGTGGTGGGTGGAGCTCTGCATGACTTCCTCAACAGTTTCAATGTCTTATTGAAGCAGAGCAGCGTGCAGCCCAGCCCGGATGGGGAGAGTTGCATAAACGAACCGTCGGTGCTGTGCTTAGACAAGGATCCGGGTCTGCTTACTGTCTACTTCTTCAACCCTGACCCCACCACAGAGCTCTTCTTCCCTGGTGTCATCAAAGCTGCTGCCCGCTTGCTGTACCACACCACTGTGGAGGTGTTGAAGGATGYCCTCAACACCAAAGACAGTATCCTGCAGTCCAGCCCTCAGCCTAGTCTTCTGTACACAGTTGTGGTTAAAGAGACCAAAATTCTCAGCCCTAGTCCCCTGCGGGCTACCTCTGCTGGGACCCTCCCTACCTCTCTCTTCTCTACCATCTTCCCTTTCCATCTGATTCTAGACCAGGACCTGGTTCTGGTACAAATAGGACACGGGCTCAGGAAGAGACTCACCAGGAAGGATGGACCGAGGCGATCCTCTACCTTTCAGGAACACTTCTCTATTGTCTCCCCGCAGATCAAATGCACCTTTCAGTGTATTCTGACCATGTTAAATACTCAGTTTATCATCCGGATCAAACACGGAGTCTCCAGCACAGAAAACACAGGCAAGGTATGTAGTCAAAGCTGTGAAAAAAAACTTCAAAAAGTGGTCATTAGTGGCTAATGGGGCAGAAAAGTTCCTCTCACGATGCAGCTGATGTCAAACGGAGCGAGTTAGGAGGAGAAAAATTGAGCTGTTTACAAGCAGTTGAGCCTATTAGTGTTGTACTTGAGCACACTTGGCCTGAGGTAGAGATCAACATTATACCCCCAGTGGAGATCAGAAGCAAATGTCAAACCATTTTAACCATGAAACGCAGCACATGCTATTTCTGTACGAGCGCACAGATATCAGTCGCCCTGACAGAAAGCATTAAAAGAAAAACATCAATGAGTAAACGTGACAGTGGTGTAAAACAGGTACGAAATCAGTGAGTGGGTGAGTGAGTAGACGTCTTCCATCTAAAGTCAATAGTGTGTTACTGACAAGCCCCTGTGCAAAACCACGACTGCAGTGTCAATGAAGGGATGCGATGAACAGGAATTATGTAGCACCACATACTTCACAACCACACAACAGATTCAAACAAATTATTTTAAATCAAAAGATTTTTAGGGACTTACAGAAACTGGTTAGAGGATGATGTCTGAGTGAAACAAATAACAAAAACATCTAGTTTACTTATTATAACTTACTACTAATCATAAGTGAGTTTGATGGAATGACTCTGGCCTGTAAATKAAATTACTGAACAAGTCATTTGAGCTTCCAAATATATTTATGTCGTGACTAAATTTAAAGAAAAACACAACTGTGCTGCATCATACATCGAAGCTCCATGGCGTCTCAAATGTCACAAACAGACAACAAAATTTATCATTCAAACACCATTAATGTCCATTGTTGATGTCTGGATCATGAATAACAAGAACCCATCCAATAGTTGTGGCATCTAACAGATTTGTGGACTTACCAACCAATCAATTAATGACATCTTCTCTGAGCAGTGTGGTTGTGTGGCTAATAAAAATGTTTTGTGTGATAGGACTTCATAAACTGGAGTATAAATAAAACATTTGTTTATTGTTGTGGATGACACCTGCACACAGCTGCAGCTTCATAAATAAAAATGACAAGCTTCTGCCACTGCAAAAACTGTCCATCTTACCAAGTTTTAAAATCTTATATCAGCCAAAAAGTCTTTTTGATTTTGTTTTGAGACTGATTTACTAAACAATAACTGATAGTTTAAGAATGATAATCTTGTTTTCAGAATGTGTAAGATTATTTGTCTTGTTAGTCTGAAAATTTGACTCAAATTCAGTCAAAAATGTCTGCCAATGGAGTAAGAAATTTTTACTTGGTAAGATTCTTGAAATAAGAAAAAATTGAGTCAAATTAAGTATTTTAAGAATCTTACCAAGTAAAAATTTCTTACTCCATTGGCAAACATTTTTGACTGAATTTGAGTCAAATTTTCAGACTAACAAGACAAAAAATCTTACACATTCTGAAAACAAGATGAT